ATTGATATGCCTTTTACATACAAGGCCTTGTATTATTTGTATCTGTGAAGGTAGAAAACTTAACCAGAGACTCATTTCCATCACTACAATGAGCCTCTGTAACAGTGAGAGTCACTTACCTTTAAAGAGGGGACAGATTTTGGCAAATGCATGCACTGGGCCTAAACGGCTATACTGGCCAACAGAAAACTCCATGAAGAGCAGAGGTATGCCACAAAGGAAAACCATGGTGAGGTAAGGGACAATGAAGGCACCTAAAAGAAAAAAAGTTCCAAAGATTAATGTACAAGTGTGAATGATAATTACTAGCTAGGTAAAAAAAATAATAATAAATGCTATGATGTTTTAGCTATTTTGTAATTATAACCTAACTTCTCTGGTTAGTTTAAAAACAAATGTAACATTTCAGGTTTTCCACAATGTAAAAAATTTTCTCACTATAATTACTGTCTGTCAGGTTAGTGGATTTAATGTGCAAAAAAAAACTCCACTTGTTAAACCCCAGTCCTACCCAAATTCTGAAAGCATGGGCTTTAGTTAAAACCCCTAGGGGATAACATAATGATGGCTTGCATGTTGAGACTTCATAAGACTTTATTAGGTTGAGTTTTGTTGAGTGATGAACCCCGGGAACCAATCTTACATGCAAAAACAACGTTAATTTATTTGCATAAAAAAAATAATGCTATTGCTTAAAGGCTATATTTGACTTTCATTATGAAAATGAATAGAATTTGTTTAATAAAGACAAATACTAAAGCCATTTGCTTTCAACAAAGCATTGCCTAAAAGGTTTCAATGAACTAGCAAAATTAACTTGTTTTTCTTTTTAAATACAAAGCTTTCCAGAAAGTGCTCATTTTTGCACCATCAATCAAAAACCGAAGACAACAAACTACGATAAACAGACTTAACAATTTCTCTATGTTTATTTATTTACAATGCTTATTCCTCCAAATAACTCATGAAGTCTCTCTTCCAATGACCTAAGTTCATGCCTCTACATTTTGTGGAATAGAATAATGCAATGTTCCATTTTTTTGTTTTTGTTTTTGTTAATATTTCCATTTGCTGTTTAAACAGAACAGTCAAAATCATATATAAACAATGAGGTCTTTAACCTTAATGTATTGCAACTCAGTGTTTCAACGTGCCTCAAGCATAACCCAACCTTTTAGCACATCCCCCATTTAGAGAAAGGTGGGTAGCAACTTCCTACATTTATTTAGTTACAACTTAAAAAAAAAAAAAAAAAAATCAGTTTTTGTAGCAGTTGTTCCTTACCGTTATCATTTTTATTTTGAAACTTTTCCTTTAGTAATATTCTTATGAAATTATCACTTCTCTTATTAAAATAAACTGTCTGGCTACTCTACTCACATCCAGTAATTGACCAATCAGAGGTCAGGTAGAAATACAGTAAATAGCTGGAAGTTCATATGAATTACCTAGTTTGAAAAATGGTTTTATAACTTTATGTTAAAAATAATTTAAAGAGGTGTTTCTTCTTCTCAAATGTGTCATTTTGTAATCATACTGTGTATTTTTTTTCTTTCTTTATTTTATACTTTGGAATATCAACATTTGCACATAACTGTCAGATTACATACTTTTAAACATTAAAACAGATATAACTAGGAAACATTTACTCAGTAATTGAGTAACCATCGTACCAAATACTTTCTTACTCTTGCTTGAGTGACATCTTAAAAGACTACTTTCTACTTTTACTTTAGTTTAAAAAAAAAAGTTGTGATACTCTTAAAATCTTTAGGTATTCCTCCCATCTCGGTTTAGAGACAAGCCCATTGACTGCGCTCCCTACAGAGCAATATACACATTTCTTCCTACAGTATTGACCACTGTTGGTTCATTCCTCTGATTCTTTTCTTGTGGAGGGAGTACAGTAGAGTGTTGATCTATTATCTGGTTCACACTATTGCACTATGTAAGCTATGCTAGAACGACAAATTAATTTTCACTCCGAGCCAACTGAGACATTAGAGCAGACCTGAAGAAGGGCCCCTTTACAAAATATTGCCTGGGGCCCAAATACTGCTAATCTGTCCCTGCAAAACTGTAATTTATTTTCGAGCCAAGTTATTCTATGATGGAAAAGCTTAGTCCTTTATAGACCTTAGTCCTAGACATTTTCTTTAGCAGATGAATATTATGTTTGCTATGCAACGCACTTCAATAAATCATTTTGAGATGTTAAATGTCAGGTTGTGTGGAGCTTTTGAGGACCAAATGCAGAGAGCAGTAGGCATGGATGAGTTTGGATGGTTTAATGAAAGTCCAAGGGAACAGAAGCAAAAATACAAAAATACTGAAAACCAATAAATGTCAGGAAAAATACTCGGAGGAAGCAAGAGACTAGAAATCAAAACAACATCTACAACACACAAGAAACCAGCACTTAATGAAAACTCTGGCGCTCTTTTAAGCCCAGCACTCTGATTATAAAGATTATTTTCACCTGTGTAGGCTACCCAGGTTCTCCACAAAGATCCTCTATAGTAGAGATGCACAACTCGCACTAACCCACACACAGGAAACCTGACATTAAATGCATTGTTTTTTTTTTATTAACTGCTGATTAAACTTTATGATGAGCTGAAGTTGAGCAATCTTATGTACATCTCTGGTCAGCAGCTTTTTATGCCAAGTAAAAAAAAATGTACTCATGTTTTTTTTTCTTTCAGCTGCTGTAAACTCATTAACCTCCACATAACTATTCTAGTTTCACATAAACTGGAATAATGTTAAATAGAGAAGTTGCATTGTTTGGGGTGGCTAGATCTAGTTTCAAATGTTTTTTTTTTTTCCTTTCCTGTTACTCAGACGTTTGTTTATTTCTGCAGACTTGTTGCTCACCTCCACCGCTGCTGTAGCAGAGATAAGGAAATCTCCAGACGTTGCCCAGTCCCACAGCGTATCCCACCGTGGCCAAGATGAACTCCAGCTGTCCACTCCACGTGGGTCTCTCAGCTCTTTTATCCACCGATCTGTCGGCGCTGGCTTTGATATCCGCAGGCTGATGATCACGTCTTCTCTCCTCAGACAGAGGCTCTGTGTTTTCGGCTCCACGCTCCATCGCGGAAATTGAATAAAAATAGATGGGTTTGATTATAAAAAAAAAAAAACGTACGCTGTAGTAACGTCCAAAACATATACAATATGGGATCATATAACCTATATAGATATATACATATAGATATATAGATATAGATGAAGACACGAGTCCAGTTTAAGTGACACCATCCTGAGCAGTGAATCATATAATCACCGCTGTCTAAAAAGGCCCACAAACTCCGCCCATCAGGTTTCCCCTTTCTTTCAATGATCCTGTTACTACGTAACAGAGCCCACTCTTTCATAACGCAGACACCTTCAGGTGTCGCGTTGCAGCGCGATGCGCATCAAACTGCCTATGTGTATGGGCGTTATTTTAACGCAAATACTTTATTTTATATCATTTGCATTAGAAAAACTGCTTAGTCATTGGATAAATTTGCGTTTGTTGACGCGATTTTTATTTTATTAGGCAAATTACGCTCAGTTTGATTTGTTATAGGAGAAAAAACACGTGTGGATGAAGCAGGTTACTTAAGAACATAATGTTTTTTTTTTTCTGTTGTAATCCTCTGACTAATAAATTAATAGACTTAGTTATATTCTATTGAGTCCCATTAGGCTTTAACCCAATTAAAACATCAATACTTTTAGGTCTAATTGGTTTGAATTAAGGCACAGTTAATGGGATTTGCTCCTTCTGTTGAATGAAGGCGCGTTGATATCTTGGCATTATAGATGTAGGCCTACCTCTGCAAAATAAAAAATACCCATAATACACATACGTTTTATTTGAAGCGTACTGATGTCATGAAAGGCTATATGTGGTGCGTTGTTCTTGCATTTGTGCCTATGTAATTTGCACATGTATGTCAAACACGTGTTATCTGCTTCCTGTGAGTTTTTCACTTTATTCCCTCTTCATGTTGTCTGGGCGTGTTTTTAAACCCATTTCTGTTATTATATTCTTCCATTTTCCTCATGGTCACTGCCTGCCTATAGCGATAGAACAGTCTCCATGTTAATATATGTAATCCACACGTGCATTGGCTCATATTTCCCTCAATGTGGAACCATGTACATGCTTCTTCCGGTTCACTATACCGGAATTATTTTTAAAGTAGATGAAAGTTATCCGCACTGCAAAAAAAAGAAAAAAAGTCCATCTTCTTAAAATTATAAATTTACTTCCACTGTTTGATTAAGCACCATCACATGTTATGCTTATAGATAAATGGAGGAAAGGGTAAAAAAAAAAAAAAAAAAGGTTACCCTCGTTTAAAAAAAATGTAATGGACAACTACGAAATTCTGATCTACAAACAGGATGAAATATCACATCCGTTGCGCAATATTTAATATTGGTTAATGTTTAGAAACATTACATTTGATTATGCTGCATAAAGCTTTCTTTTGTCAGTATTATTATTTCTAGTCATCTCAGGTGTATGGAGGACCAACTCTGCCATATCTAAAAAAATACATAAATAAATAAATGCTCAATAAATAAATAAGCATGCAATTAATTGCCCCCCAAAATACAATAAACAAATAAATGTAGGTAGAAATTGAATTAATCAGTGAGACATAAATGTATATATCTCTTTTAATTAGTTCTTTATTTGTTCACCTTTGTAATAATCAAGTGGGAATGCTTATGCAGCTTTTTGCTAACTTTTACAGTTTTGCTTCAGTGAAGCTTCAAACTTATATTTATTTATTTCTTTATTTATTTATTTCTGTATTTATTTTTAAATATGGCAGAGTTGGTCCTCCATAAGTCTGCGTATAAAAATGGTTGAATTGTATCCGCAGTACTTCCGCATGGCCGTAAGATGGCGCTGTTTTCCTTCCTATTTCGGCTGAAATCTACCTCCAGGTGCTGCAGCTGAGCCTTTCCGCTCTCCGTACAGGAATGTGGCGACCGCATTACGTCACTTATCCTGCCAACAGGAGAGAGACAGCCGTGTCCAGCAGGAATTTGGTCTTTGTTTTTTTTTTCCGTGCAGCTTTAAATGAGGAATTAGCGTTTTGCCCCGCTGATGTTTTTTCAGAGTGGTAGTGTGGGATGTACAGCTCCGCTGCTGCACAATGAGAAGATTGTAGAAAGATCCCAAATCTCGACGACGCTCTCAGGAGAGTCGATGGAGGAATCAGAGAGTAAGGAGTGTTTTATGTTGTTACCTTGTAATAACCTGAAGTTGTTGGTATTTTTTGGGCTTTATTAACGGGAGCCGATTTAACGTGGTGCAAACATTTTGCTGTTTATTTGTTCATGTTTTGATTATATGGATTTTATTGAATTAAACTAGGGTTTAATCAATGTAGACTGCTTTTTTAATTTTTTTTTCCCAGAAGCATCGAATAAACACTTTATTTCTTCATATGCAGATAATTGTTACTGTGCGGGTTGTGGAGGAAAAATCCAAGACTCATTCCAGATGAAGGTCCTCCAGGATACCTGGCACAACGCCTGCTTTCAGTAAGTGATACCAGCTTAGGGCTTTTGGATCCGCCCCTGCACTCTTGATCACATTTATTTTTTATTTTTTTTTTACCTCTGTCTTTTAAACATGTATGTCATCATCTCTCTTGATGAAAAGAACATTTTACTGTACATTACCCCGGATCATTGTTTCTGTATCTCTGTTCTCCCCATAAAGCAAACCATTCTTTCTCATGGTTCAGCTCTAGAGGACTTTGTCCTTGTGTGCTGAGGCTTAATGATTGTCTCAGTGGCGATGCTCCCCAGACCTCTCTGGCCCTCACAGCTCAGGATATGCATGTTTGGTGCAGTGAACCTACGCACACAGGTGCATACTTCACATGCCAGCCTGATATAACTCTCCACAGGGTTTCCCCCTTTGGCAAACAGCTGCCCTTCACTTGTTTCCTTTGATGATGAGAATCAATGGCGTAACTATTGGTAAGCAGAGACTGCGGTTGCTTAGGGCCCCCCAACCTCTTAGGGCCCCGGTCACTGACACCTGGTTGGCCCCCTACGCAGTTGTGGACCAGGACGTCGCTTTGCAGATGTAATGGTGCGAAAAACTTATCTTAAACTCACCTGATCCTAGGTTGATTGACGGGATCTTATTTATACAGATTTCACCATGATGGTGAGCCGTTTAAATACGACACCAATAGAAAAGCAGACAGTGGTACTTTTAATTACTATGTTAATAACTGTGTATGGTTCATTAGACGGTTGGTAAAAAAAATATACACTCATATAATGTTTCAAACCGCAATAAAGATTTTAAAAGAACGATGTATTTGAGTATTTTATTTTTTACAGTTCGACTTAGAATTCTGGGTAATCCAGAGCGTAGATTAAAACCATAAGCGTTACGTACAATGTGTTAGCGACGATGGATACCAAAAAGAGGTACTTAAGCGGATTCTAGAAAAGAAACAGGAAAGGAGAGCTGCTGGAAGAACGGAAAAAAACTTCCCAAAATAAACATGTTCTTTCAATAAACCGAAGAGGGAGAGGTGGACGTTGCTGCTACAGTGAGTTAAGATTGCAACCAGGAGATGAATGGAGAGAGCGTGGGTGAGGAGGGAGCTGTGAAGCTGAAGGTAGCCCGATAAGACTCATTTTACAGCAGAATATACTAAAGTATATCAATGTCTAGTGAAGGTGCAGAAAGATGAAATGATGAAGGTTGTGTGTATGGGGCACGTTTTGGGTCGTTGCAGCGGGGATGGGGCCTATTGTTGTCTCGTTATGCCATTGATGAGAATCATTGTTGTTTTACAGTTTCTCCTCCAACTAAGCTGCTGCATAAGAGCTTTTTTTCAGTAAATACATCTATTGTCTATTGTTTTTAATTCTGACTAGGATAATACTCTCTTTAGATGTCCTCTCTCTGTGTGCTCCTTTCTATGCACCTCTGGAAGGCTTTTAATGTCCTGCAGCGCTGAACCACTACAGCACTTTTAATTGTATCTGAATGTTATATATGTGTTATATATTGTTTTATGGCTTTGTTGTAAAGAACCTTGGGTTCCATTTGGCTATTGTAAAGGGCTATACAAATAAATCTGATTTGATTTGATTTTGATTTAATTAGATTGCTGACCAGACGCATTACATAAACCAGTGGCATATAAAGCAGAAAATGTGCCTTTGTTCTTATCAAACTAGAAGGAATTCTTTGATTATGCAGATCACTTTGCATTTTCACAGAAATATTAAAGTATGCATTGTGATTGGGTTATTTGTACCCCAATAAAAACACAATTTATTTTATTTTGTGTTGTCTTTTACCAATATTTAAATGCTTTACTTTTCACCTCTAATGTTTTAATATTCTAACATTTATTCGCCTTTTGTATTAGGGATCTTTTATTATGTTAGGTTCTTTTGAAAAAGGGGAAAGCGTGACCACAGTAAATCCCTTCAAAAGAGCCAGGATTTACCCTGTAGGCTGATTTTCCATGTCTCATCAGACAGATAATAAAACCCACACAGTGGAATGTCTTGTCTGATTAATAAATGTTCTTGTATATTCAGAAAGATTAGTCATGCAATATTATAAACTTTATATCCAAGTTTTTTGTTTTCAGTTCTTACATCTTAATCGGGACATAACCTTTGAATTAGCTTTGTCCAGAAACACAAGTTTTAACTTCTGTTTTTTGTTGTTGCACATTTTACTTTAATTAATGGAACAAGGGGCAGGGATTTTGTGAGAATACACATGGATGTCCAGTTTTTTAATGCTAGCAAATAGTTAAAGAAATCAAAACCAACAAGCTCACCCTTGGATTTCTCCATTGGCTGAATAGGCTGTGTGCTGCGTAATACGCATGCAGGCCCCCAATGGCTTTGATACACTAAGTCACAGTTGTTTCCGCAGTAGTAGACTTACATGACATGGTGCTTGTTGCTGTCATAAGATATGTGCAGTGGTCTTGTAGTAAACTGTCACATAATAAACAGAGTTACAGCATCACCAGCGCATTGCTGTGAAGTGTTTCTTGTCCGTGAAGCGTTGTCATGTCACTCATGAGTTTTAATTTTCTCTCCTGCCTCTAATGCCTTTAAGTTTTGTTAAATTTATATATGAAATACATTAAAATCTGCTTTCATGAAAAAAAATACTTGTTTGATTGAAAGGTCTCTCATTTGAAAAAAATAGGTGTTCAAGAGATATTTAAACTCATATCTGAGTTTTATTGGAGCCCCCGAATGAATGCAAGTATGTGCTATTGTTAGTATCACTATAATATATCAGCAATCATTAACCCTTTTACAGGTGTTTAGCATCGTTGCTAAAGAGCATCAAACAGCAGGATGAATGGTCTAGAAAAGCCACACAGGGAATTTTCCAAAAATTTTATTTTAAGGCTTAAAATGAAAACAGATTTCTATTGGTTGTATTCAACCTTACACCTATAGTTTTTTTCACATAGATACTACCCTAGATGGTATTTTTATTGCTTTAAAAGTCGAAGACCATGCCAACGTAAGTTGACATTCAATGTCTATGCTTTGAATTTTAATCGGCTCACACAGTCTGGTTTAATACTCATCCCAGACAATGACTCTCTTGTAACAAATCATACCTTTTGTACCATATCATTTTGATTTCCTGAAACGTTTTATTGCTTTTATTGCTATAAAAGCATTGCAGAGCTGACGTGATTTGCATGTATTGTTGCAACTGAGAACCACAATCAACTGACACCATTACCTCGGCTGGCATTCTTTGCCAGACAAAACTTCTTAAGAAAACACAATTGAAACATGTCCTTGTTGAAAGAAAAAGATTACCCTGTGTGTGTGGTTTTTTTTTTTTTTTTTTTTTTGTTGCACACATGCTGCTTGCCATTTTGCCCTGTGTGCACCTCCACCTTGTGTAACATTCTTGAGAGTGAACGTCATTCCTGTTCCAGTAAACCTGGTGGTGTTGTTGAGTCCCATAGGTAGCACTACATTCGACTTTGCTGTGTTCTGCATTCCTAGACAGCGATTCAGATCTCTGTATTCCTGTGTCAGACACTGTCGGGGTCTTTTTTTCTTTTTTGCTGTCCTTTTTTCCTTTCTTTTTTTTAATTAACAAATCAAGCTCTTCGGTCTTGGTCCCCACTTTTGGTTCAGATTTGATCAAACTTCGCCACAGCATAAGGGTGGAGTAACTTGGTCTTTTAATTCACAGTTGTTACTTCTGAACTGCACCCTTTCAAAGATGGCAGGAGTTTCTTGTTATCACATGGAGACATCATCCACCACTGTATTCTTGGAAGATTGTTTAATTTCCATGTTTACTTTCATGCCAAGATTTTAAAACAACCTTATCTTTCCACTAAATGTTGAGTAAAGTGACTTGATAAACAGATTATTTCCTGAGAAGCCATGAACTACATTATCTATACACCTTTTATTGTCTAAAATGCAGGACCTGGTGCTTGTATATACTTTTTTATTTCAAGTTTGAAGATCTTATTTCATACGTGGCAATTGAATTAACTCTTAACAAACATATGTTCATAAGAAAAACCTTTATTTTCCTAGATAAAACCTCATTTGAGATCTAAAATGTATTTTTTCCATGAGGAACCTTTATAAAGCTAAAAAGTATTTAGGGTATAAATGTTGCTCTGGAATGAAGTTGTGGTGTGGGACATTTGCAATTTTAGGTCAGCATGCATGAATACTCGCCAGCAGGAATGTAGATTTTAGGAAATGAGTAGTGTTTGCTTTATGGTTCAGCAATGGCGACAGCATTGTTTGCCTTAGAATCACCTGAGTTAATGTGCCCTACCAGCGTGCAGCAGTGTGCATATGGAGGAAGCCAGATGTTTTTATAAGGAGACTTACATCATCTCATTGAGGTATTATGGGGACATAATAACAGAGTGTTTGCTGGTTTTGTCTTTAGGTGTGTTTGTCTAGAACATGGTTGAACTCTTTGTCATTTTTTTTTTTGTTTTTTGTTGCAGCTGGACTGGCGATTAACAAACTGCTATAGCCCTGTCTTTTATGTGCTCCTTTGTCTACTCTTTCAGTTTGTGTGTTAGTATCACAAGATAAAAGCTTGTCTGATTCAATCTGTGCTGCGATGTTGCCTTATCTTATTTTAGGTTTCAGGACTATTTTAGCTTGAACTCAATATTTTTGGCTGAGAAAAAATTTGGAAGGCAGAACATAAATAATTGAATAAGCATAATTTAGAACATTTTTAACATTTCAAACCCTGTAAAGTGACTCTTTATAGTATATATATAGAATAGTAACAAAATAAAGTTGCACAAAATGAATTTCAAAGGGAGCCACTTGGATTTGCTGGACAGTCTGTTATAGTATGTGGGTCAGTCATCATTTCCAGTGGTTTCCAAACCTTTTGCGATGCACACCAAAAATATATCTAGTTTAAAGTAGTACAGGGCAAATTTTTTTTTTTATTTGAAATTGTGAAAAGGAAAAGAAGCAATTTACGTTTATTATTTTTTTTAATTCTCTCAGCTGTAAAC